GCTTTAAGGGAATAAAAATTGCTGATCATCTACAAAAATCAAAAGAATTCATGGATGGATGCAAGCATTTTTACAGAATGGTATGACACTGTATTTATCCCCGAAGTCAAAAAGCATCAGCTTAAAGCTGTGAATACTGGAAATGTTTTGTTGTTGATTGATAACGCCCCAATTCATCCACCAAACATTTCACTGTAAAGAGAAATCGGAAAGTTTAAAGTTGTTTACTTGCCTCCCAATGTTACTTGTCCTCCAACCAATGGACCAAGGGGTCATTGAAAGCTTCAAATGATATTTGAGAAAGGCATTGCTGTGTATGGTAATACTCAGGAAAGAATGTAAAAAAAAATTCAGCAAGTGTTCACTGAAATTAACTCGAAGGATGCTATGTACATGGCAGCAGATGCTTGGGCTACTGTCAACAAAACTACACTAATAACACCTTGGAATAAGCTCCTACCATTAGATGAGTCTATCACTGCACCTGAAGAACCACCAAACAGCCAATTTGTATTACATCTGTATGGGCTGATTGAAAAATGTTACTGATTTGAAGAATGCAACAACGAAAACATTCAAGACTGATTCGAATGTGATGCCGATTACCCTGGCTATCAAATACAGTAGAGCATCGATTATCCAAAAGAATTCCAGTTGGCATATTTAAATTTTTGCCAGTGCTGTGGTGCTGCAATCTTTGACTATGTCTTGGTTTTTGATACTAAATTAACTTCTGAAGTATAATTTTTTATTGTTTTTATATTTTTCAATATATTTTATTTTTTTATTTTGTACAAACAAAATATTTTTAATGATACAATAGTCTTCGTTAGGCTTAACATTGACTGAAAATTCAACGTGAAGCGACTCGCAACGAAGAAAAATTTCAACATGGGATAGGTTAATATATTTTTTTGTACATAATCGGTTATCTGAAATATCAATTTTCCGAACAACCCCAGTCCCCAATTGATTCGGATAATCGACGCTCTACTGTATTGTCGGACGATGAAATCATTGCCAGTGTCATCGGCAACCAAGACCCTTGCAATGATGAGGAAGAACCTAGTGACGACAACTGTGCTGAAAAAGGACTAACCAGCGAGGAAGCTTTTCACGGCCTTGAGACCGCTATGAAGTGGTTAGAACAGCAAGAAGAATGTGACGCTATCCAATTGCTGCTTTTAAAATGTGTGCGAGAGTTAGTGGCAAAAAAATGAGTGTCAGCCGTAAAGCAAAATAAAATTTTGGACTTCTTTTTCTAATGCATAGGCCTACTTTATGTAAAACATGTAACCCAAATATTGTATATATTTTTTTGTTTTATATTTTTCAATATACAGTAAGATAGTGTATTTATTTTGTACAAAATAAAGAAATAATTTTTAACGATACAACTTTGAGACAAGCAGAGGGCCAGGGGTTTAACTCCTCCTGACCACTTACACTGTACAGTCAGCAAAGATTGGTCTCGGAGTCGTCGGATAGCTGTTTATCGAGTGGCGAGGAAGCCGACAGGCATCCTTTCAATGACAGGCGACAAGTTTAACAAAATAACAAAGAATTTATTGAATAACTAATCCTAATTACAAAAGGTGATAATAATATAGAGTTAAATATGAGTTAACTCTACAAAGGGCCGCTCTTAACAGCTCTAACAGCTATTCTGAGAGAGAGAGTTCTCAAAACTCTAAATAAAAATACCTCCATGAGGAAATGAATGGTATGTATTGAATGGGTCGTAGAAATTATAGTCAGCGCAGGAACTGTAGTATGGTGATAAGTATGGAAGTTCAAAGTTGTGGTCTGTCGTATGTCGATGCAACAACCAGATGCAACAACCAAAAGGAGAAGCTCCTTTTGGTTGTTGCATCCGGGGTATGGAGACAAGATGCACACATTAACAAGTATAACTTCCTTTGGATCGCCATGAGCTTCTGGGGACTCGAGCTTTTATATGGACCTCGTGGGAAAGGAGTCACATGATCGTCATCTGTTGACATTAACGGTGCATTCCTGTATCCCAAGTGTCAACTTTCCCACCTAATTGTGAAAACAAACGATGACCTCTGATCTAATTCTCACCAAGAGCGGTTTTTTCCATTGGAGTTGTTTACAAAGGCTTTTCCGATCACTATGTAAAAATTGCGGATTTCACATAATAGTGACGATTATTAGTTAAAAAAAATTTTTGTTAGGCTTAACATTGATGAAAATTCAATGCAAAGTAGGTTAATAGCAATATACTAATATACTATTCTAATAATATATTTTTTCATACTTTTCAGTTATCTAACAACCCCAGTCCCCAATTGAGTCAGATAATCGATGCTCTACTGTACTTAGTTTTAAAAGATTACATGTTCTTTTTAAAATGCTTTGAAATAATTCACATATACAAAAATAAATATTTCTAAATGAAATAAGTGGAGTTTTTTAATAGAATTAAAATGTCGCACAAATTAGAATTCGGTACTAAATGTGATATGCACTCAACACAAAACAATTGGCAACTTGGAGTGCTGACTGGCTAGCATCTGTCAGATAATCACTCCTCAACATATTATTATCACTTTGCCCAACTAGATGATAGCAGTATTCATAATGACTGGTCAATTTGATAAATTAATCAATATTTATCATACTGCGCACCCTTTCTGGTCATTATTCATAATGACTAAGCATTATGAATAATGCCCAATTAATCACTTGGTCCATAACATATACACTAATATGGCATGTGCCACAAGAGAGAATTGAATGTGGAGTTTTATAAAGAACTGGATTCTCTCTTGAAATGCATTTAGCATGTTTGTCCTACCAACTGCATTCTAGTTCCAAGGCTTTTTTCTGTTGCATAATAATACACAACAATCACAAAGATGCTGCAAGTATACATCAACATTTGACACAAAAAAGAATCTAACCTTACCAAGAGAAAACTTAGAATTAAGAACTACTGAGGCCTCTATAAATTAATGTTTGTTATTTTTTCTAACGAAAAATAATAAATGTCTTAAAGATTTTAATGAAGAAACATTCTCTATGCATTTCATTTGTTCAGAAAAAAAAAGGGCAAAAGGACTTACTCTATCCCTAGTCCCATACTAAGCTTTTGACAACACTGCTTCTAACTTAATTCTGGCAATATTGCATGAACTGTTCATAAATATTTTTAAAGAACAGGCATACCTCAGGTTATGACCATTTCATGATAAAACAAATTGCAGATATGACCATCATATATTTGTACCCCCACCATTATCTGACCTAGCTATTCCCACTGATAGGACACTTTGTCCATTCCAAGTGTTACCACCTGTCCAGTTTTTGCATCATGTGTATGGGTGTCTGGTCAAAGATAAAAAATGTTTGGGTTTTAAAGATACATGGCAAATCGTCAATAATATAACTGATTTTAAACAATGTAAAGGCAATGGACAATTGTGAACACTAATCTCACAATTTGTAAAATATAATGTAAATAATATTAAAACTTCTTGTATGATAACTAATTAAGCTGTTATTTTCATTTTGCATAAACGTATTTAGTTTGTCGGTTACTTTTTTGATGTTTTCCCCTGTCCCGAAATGACCTTTCAACTTTGATTTTATCTCAGGGAATAGGTAGAAGTTGCACAGAGTTAGGTCTGGGTTGTGGGAGTGTGGGGATTTTTTCTTGGCCAAAAACTCTCAAATTGATAGTGCTGTGTGAACAAGGGCATTATCATGGTGCAGCATCCAATCTTCTGTAATGTCCCTGCAGACTTGCTGACCCATTTTCAAAGTCTTTCTAAGACATCTTTCTAGAAAGCCTGATTAACTATCTGTCCTGAAGGTAAAAATTCTTCGCGCACAATTCCATGGCTATCGAAAAAACAATAAGCATTGTCATTGTCTTTACCCTGAATCTTTGTGCCATCTACCATGTTTCTTGATAAAGTGGCATCTCCATAAGCTTTGGTTGAATCTGCAAATGCCTCAGTTTCAGATTTCTTGATAGCATAATGTTGTTTAAGATTTTTCTCCATTTCAAATGTAATGATGTGTTAAAACACTATCTTACACAGAGATTGTGCAAGTTTGGAACAGTGTGTCGGAGATGACTCTCTAACAGCAGAAAAGGGAAAAGAAACTGAGTGAAATCAAAATGCTTTCAGCAAGTTCTTCATGCCTTAAGTATTGTAAATATCAAAACGTTCAGAGGTGAGAACTTCTTGATATCTGATAATCCGCAAGAGGGATAGTGAGTCTAGAAATTGTTATTATTGAGTTTACATCCCTTTTCTGAGTGGGATAAGTTTGTAATGATTTATACATAATTCCCATGTAACTGCTCTTGCACAAAGGAAATTACAAATGTGATAATAAAATGCCTAAAGGTAACTATAACAATCTGAATCTTAATTTTAAAAGAGAAATAATCTTAACGTTAATGGTGTTTTCACAGAATGTTCAATCAGAAAGGACCTGCTGACATTAAGCACTGGATGCTTTGTTAAATAGCCATTTAAGTTAAAATTATACTGGAAATTGTTTTCACAAAATTAAAATTAGGATGATCAATACAAAACCTTCCTCACTTATTTCTAGCTGTTTATACACTAGTACGAACATTTTTGGCCTTCACAGTGTACCTGAAGAAGGCCTATTAAGATCTGTATAAATGGCTAGAAATAAGTGAAGAAGGTTTTTTATTGATCATCTTAAAATAGTTCTAGCTACAAATGCATAGAAGTATTAAAATTAGATCATATGATTTATAAAAATTGAAAATATTTAATTTGTTTCTATGCAAAGTATTAATAAATACCTCCCAGTATGCAAGATTGAAAGGAGTAAAGAAGTCATTTACACATTCTTCTAGAATCTACATAGATAGATAATCAAGTGATATTTAAGGATACACAATGAGAACTGACTCCAAAAGCATATTTAAATTAGCTGAAAGACAAAACAAAATTATATCAATTGAACATAGTTTAAAATAATTTACTTACGCCTTGCTTGATAATGGACAGTGAATGCAGATGATAGAGTTTCATTATTATCGTACAAAATTAAAATGGAATTAGTTTTACTCAATACTTCTCCAGTTAGATTTGTTAAAGTATCATTTTGTAATGAGGGACCGTCATAAACTTCTATTGACCTATAATTAGAAGCAGAGTTTAAATAATATAATCAATTCTGTATTTTACTTCAAACAATTTTAACAGAATTATTTTATTTATTTGTATTTGGCATACACAGGATATTGTGAAATGTGTATGCAGTTTTATGCATATATGTATAACTAAAAATGTGAAAATGTTAAAATTATGCAGCAAAAAATATTTGAAATCCCATTTTTTGAAGTTATTTTTACATTAATAATTTTATCCATTTACTTTATTTATAGATTGTGTTAGTGATCCAAATTGATGAAAGTCAACAACAGGCAAAAGTACACTATTCATTATGTTGAACATACCATACTGAGTAGCAAATTTTCTGACAGCTATTATCGATTAACATATTGGGCAGAATGACATTAATATTTTAAAAAAAAATTATAAATATTTTGTAAAAAAGGGCTGACGAATTTACACTAATAAAAAAACAATACGTAAAAGAGACTAAAATTAAAATGTCTTCACTTTCGCATTTGCATGCTTTTGCAGAGGCATAGGCTCTAAAGTAGGGATGGCCAAAACATAGTGCATTGGATTATTACAAGTGGCACTTCGGTCAGTTCTAAGTGAGCCATCGTGATGTTGAGTTTTGAAGCAGAATTTTTGTGCAAGAGCATTTTGTGTGATATGATGTATGTAACTGTGATCTATTTGTTCTTTTTCAAAATTTTTTTAGAGTTTTGTACTTTTCTATGTTTTTTTAAATTCCTTTTATCCATTACAGTGCAAAATAAAATGACCAAAAGAAGCACAGAAAGTGATAGTAGGCATGAATTTAATGAACAGTGGGAAAATGAGTTATTACTTATAGCAAATTCATCAAAAAATTTATTGCATTATTTGTGAAAGACTTTTTCACATAATGGAAGACATGATCTTAATAGACACTATAAAACACGGCATCAGACTTACATAGAAGAAAAAATGAAGTTTGTTCTTGAGTCTGAGTTGTGAAAAGAATATGCAACTAAGAAAAAGGAAGAAATCAGAAGAAGACAAAATATATTTGCTAAAGTAAGTTGTGAAGACTTAGCAATGACAGAAGCATTATATGAAATTGCTTTATCATTGGTGGAAAAAACAAACCTTTTTCTGATGGAGAAGAAATTGTTAAGCCTTGTCTCCAAATATTTGCAAGCCATCTTGATAATAAAGGTATTGAAAGGAAAGCAGACAAAATTGCTATATCAAAGCAGACAGTATCAAGAAACTCTCTCAGTATGTATCCCAGCAATTGGAAGACCTTGTCCATTCGTGTACTTTCTTTTCTCTAGCTTTGGATGAATCAACGGACAAATCTGATGTTGTACAGTTAACACATTTTTATAAGAGGAATTGATGATAATTTTAATATCTTTGAAGAACTTGTCAGTCTGGAGTCATTGCATGGTAAAACAAGAGGATGAGACATATTTAAAAAAGTAAAATTACTCATAGAAAATCTAAAATTAGATAATAACAAACTCATCAGTGTCTGTACTGATGGAGCACCATCAATGATAGGTAAAATCAATGGCCCTGTAAACTTAGCTTGAATATTTTTAAAATTGTCCTGTACTAAAATATCATTGCATTATACACCAAGAGGCACTGCGTACCAAAACTTTAAATATGCAACATGTTATGTTACCGGTTGTGAAATGTGTAAACAACATTAGAGCAAGAACATTAAATAGACAAGAATTCAGAGAATATTGTGAATTGTTAGATTTGGAATATGGTGATCTTAGCCAGTGCACTTCACAATGAAGGTTTTCTATAGGGCAGGTTCTAAGTAGATTTTGGAAATTGAAAAATGCTGTTTATAATTTTTTTAGAGCAGGAAAATGAACTACCTGATGAAAGAACCCTATTATTTGATTTGGCAATTTTCAGTTGATATTACTAGCCATCTCAATGATCTAAATTTAAAAACTACAAGGCAAGAATAAATTATTTTGTAGCTTAGTAAATAGCATCAGTTCATTTGAAATAAAATTAAAACTGAGAGATGATAGTTAGAAAATGAGGATTAGAGTCAATTTCCATGCTTTCAAGCATGGAAATGTGCTGAGAATAATAGCAATTTGATCAAATATACTGAAAAAAATCAAGATATTGCAAGAGACATTTGAAAGTCGTTTTCATGATTTTGCTAAAGAAAAAACTGCATTCTCATCTTTATAAACCCATTTTCACTTAGTGAACAAAACATAATGCAGATGCCTAGTAACATACAAATGGAACTGATTGATTTAAAAACAAATTCATTCTTAAAAATAAAATTTAATGAGATTTTTCCAGATCTAAATGCTTCTGACGTAATTAATTTCTAGTGTTCATTACCATGTGAACATTTCCAAAAAATTATATATGTCACTTTGGAATGACATACAGATGTGAACAAGCATTTTCATCAATAAAATTAATTAAAAGCAAAACAAGGTCGCAAATAACTGATTCAAATTTGAAGAATTCTCTGCTGCTCTCAGTAACAAATTTAACACCAAACATTAAAAGACTAGTGAAATCCAAACAGGCTCAAAAGTTTAATTAATGAATAAGTAATGGTTATGTGCTGTAATAAATATTGTTTTACATACAATAATTAAATCATTTAAAAAAGTTAATTATGTCTATAAACATACTTCTATTAAAAAGGTTATTAAACATACATCAGGGCCAGGACTCCTTCTAGCAGACAGAGAGAACAGACAAATCCAAGTTCCAAGCTGATCTTGCTTTCACTGCCAACAACTGTGGTCCAGAGTTATCTTCACCAAAAGACTCTGGCAGCTTTAGCATCATCATGAAGTGATCACCCTCTCATACAGGAAATCATTCCTGACTATTGTATATTGGTGCTTCATTAAACTAGTGTAAATTAATTACAGTCGACCCCCCTATAACGTGCGTTCCTATAACGACAATTCCTATAACGTAGCGAAAAAATTGTAGCAACTTTCGTATAAAGTACCTCCTATAATGTCGTTTCGCGACAAGATTGATAGAATCTGGACCAATAGTGGATGAGCAGCCGAACTACTTTCCTCCGACCCTGCGCCACGCTACGGAGCGGCTAAATTGAGTTTGCTATCGTCTGTACGGTATTATATATAAATTAGGTACTGTATATATAATTATATATTAACTTATTGTAACTTTATTATAATTAAATACATAATTTCTGCCGTCTAGCGTGGCACCACGCTACGGAGATTTAGGCAATAAGTTGAGTTTATTATCGTCTGTAGAGTATGTAAATTAGGTACCGTAAGTCTAATACAGCACTAATTTTATACATTTCTTGTGAAAGAAACACTTCTTATTCAACGGCCATAAAAATTATTTATATTAATGATGTCTCCAAAGGTCAAGTTATTTTTGTGCGAAAAATTATTTATCAGAAATCGCGGCCGCCATTTCGTGTGCTGTTCCGCGACGAAGACAAGCTTTGAACAACGGGCATAGTCGAATAGTGCACACTCGGTAAGTAATCCTATAATTTTTTGTTTATAGCATAGTTTATACGGATTACTCCCAAAAAATTATACGTGTTTTGGAAATGTTGAGTGGAATTAGTCTAGAATCGGTTAATTTTATAGAAGAAAACCTTTCAAACAGCCTTAGTCCATAAAGTTCACACCTATCGGGCTGTGATTGGCTCATGCAGGGCCAGATTAACCCACTTTAAGGCCCTAGACATTTTGAAGAAGAAAATTTCAATTAATAAATTTTGTTATTATTATTTCTATTAAATCGCATACGGACACTGCAGCTGCTTAATAAAAAATAAAAGCAAAATTATTTAACAATATTTCACAGGATTCAAGAATACATATAGTTAATATTATTCTTATCGCTATAAAAATAATTCTAAATTATTGGGAGTTTTCTTTTACTTTCAATTAGAAGAAACATAATAATAAAAGGGTTGTTCAAAAAGTTCCTGAACTTTATTTTTTACAAAAAAAAAATACTTCACATATTTGTCAGGGTCCCCTTCAAAGTAGTCTCCTCCGCAACGTATACACTTATTTCAACGGTGTTTCCACTTTTTGAAACAGTTCTGGAACGCTTTTTCTGGAATGCTCGTAAGCTCCTCCGTCGTTTTTTTCTATCTCTGGAATGGTGGAAAATCTTTTTCCTTTGAGCGTGATTTTTAGTTTGTTGGAGAACAGGAAAAAGTCTCTTTGTGTCAAGTCAGATAAGTAGGGGGACCAAAAACTCACGAATTCGGAGGGACAAATGAGCCGTCGCGTTGTCATGATGAAAAAACCACTCGCCGCTCCTCCAAAGTTCGGGCCGTTTTTGCCTGATTCTGTCTCTTAGGCGTTTCATAACACCAAATAGTACTCCGTGTTGACTGTCTGGCCTGTAGATAGATATTCGTGATGCACAACACCCTTTGCATCGAAAAAAACAGTCAACATCACCTTAACATTTGAGCGAACTTGTCGAGCTTTTTTGCAGCGGGGGCTGTTTCACCCACCCGTGGGAAGTTTCCGTGAAAAATTTTCGGAGTTTCACACAGAATTTCACAGAACAACGCTGCTCTTTCAAAGAGCTGATTTCTGCGGATCCGAGTTTTCGCCAAACTCCACAAACACCCCTTCACATAAATGGCCGTAACTAATCACCAAAACAAGATATTAACAAACGGGTTGAAGGAAGTTACTCGGGAGGTTTCCGCAGACACAATGCCTCCAAGCGAATTAAAAAATAACCAACTGGAAGCGCGCTATTCAAAAAGTCTGGGAACTTTTTGAACAACCCACGTACATTTTCTTTAGATTTTAGAATTCACTATAACCATATAAAAAGCAATACTGTATATTTTTGTTTATTATATACAGATGCCCAACAGAAAAGTAAACTATCTTATTTACAAATCTTTTCAAAATAGACAGTTTGACCGGGCCCTAGACATTTGTCTCATATGTCTATGCGATGATCCGGCCCTGGGCTCATGTATTTAATCATTCCTACAACGTAAAAT